ATGACAGTTTATACAATCCATCTTCTTCTCCGTGTAATTTTCAATTTTAATGTAGATTCGCCAATGGAAGCATTGGGAGGACTCTATTGCTAAAGATAATTATGATACTCAACAAGGTACGAATTCACCACTCCACAGAATTTAGACTAAGATGTTTTGTCAAAGGTTTTTTGCCGGAAGTATGTTGGCTTTTAATATGTTGCTGCTCGTAAGAGTGATGTTGTATAATATTAGAAGGAGGTTATGTAAACCCGTACTTAAATTAATCAATGATCTAGCTACTATGAATGCAATCTTTTCTGATTGTTTTATTTTATAATTTGAAATTGTGTTAGGCCTTATAAATTATGTGTATAAAGAGGATCTGCTACTGTGCATTATTAATTAATTTTCTTCTCGTGTATATCATAATTATATATATGATGGACTTGCAGTTCTTAAGCCTAGGATTACCAATGTTCAGCAACATGATTTCATCAAGAAGAGATTTTTGGGCTTGGGTAGACATTCAGCCCTGTTGAGTTGGGTGGTAGGTTTAAATCTGTCCGTTATTGGTAATACATTTCATTTTCCTCTCATATCCATTGTCAGCAAATGGAACAAAATGCAAGTTGATATTATACGTAGATGCAGTATCATCAATTCATCACTTGGTCATTTTCCTTTCCCAAGTGCTGTGGGTGATCACTTTTTGATAATTTTTTCAGCATTCTTTTCTTAAGCAATTTTATGGATCTGTCACCAAGTCAGACTATGTAGCACTCCGGTTGGGATTCATCATGGTAAGTGCTTAATGTATTTGTCATTTTTTTCTAAGTTTAAAACTTCACTTATAATGAAGTTTATTATAAGTAAACTACTAAATTTTAAAATAAATATTATGTTTATGAAATAATTAATAGACGGATAGTGTTAGTTTTTGAAAAATAAATAATTTTTTTTACTGGAAAGTGATAAAAAGTAACTCATCCATACATGTTTTGGAAACAAAAATTTACTTAAGTAACTTCACTTACTTTGTCAAAATATGCTCAAAGTCCGTTAAGTTTGAAGTCAATTTTTATTATTTTTTAAAATATTTTTCTACTTGAATTTTATACACCTGATGTGGAACTCCCTTGCCTCAGACACATTGCAGAGGAAACCCAAAATTTAATTTCCACAAGTACATGATACGTGCTCTGGAAGATGACTTTAAAACAGTTGTCGGGATAAGGTAAGTGATAATTTAGGAGATTCAATAGTTCTAATTTTACCCTTGAAATCCTTTTTGAGTACACATCTTTCTCCTCTGCAGAACAATACTTTTAGCTACTGCTTCTACTTAAAATATGGGTTAATATCTGCTTTTATTCATTGCAGTTGGTATTTGTGGGTATTCGTTGTCATCTTCTTGTTGTTGAATATCAACGGTACAACCTCTCCATTCAACAATACTGGCAATGTTTCCCTGTAATTTTATTTCTGCTGCAGCAGTGCAATGCGCTATTGGACTTGATTACCTAGTACCAGATTATGCAATTTTTTTGTTTAAAATTGACTTATATTTTTGGTGCAGGTTGGCATACATATTTCTGGATTGCTTTCATTCCTTTTATCGTGAGTTCCCCCAAACTGTTGCTTAATTAATTTGTGTGCCTTTATTAACGCATTTTTCCAAAAGTCACGGTGAAAATGATACCTCACTTTTCTTAATCTTCTGTTATTTGCACCAAACCAACAATTTGTATCTGTAGTTAACATTTTTATAATTTATTTTTCAGCTTCTACTTGCTGTTGGCACGAAGTTGGAGCATGTGATTATCCAGTTGGCTCATGAGGTTGCTGAGAAACATGTGGCCATTGAGGGCGAATTGGTTGTGCAACCTTCCGACGATCATTTTTGGTTCCATCGACCCCACATTGTTCTTTTCTTGATTCATTTCATTCTTTTCCAAAATGCTTTTGAAATAGCATTCTTCTTCTGGATATGGGTAACTGGATTCATTAAATTGTCTTTGTAAATGAAAGAACCTTTCCCCATCAGTTAAAAACTATTTTTATGTCACCTACAGGTTCAATATGGTTTCGACTCTTGCATTATGGGACAAGTTCGTTATATAGTTCCTCGACTTATCATAGGGTGAATCAACTCTACCTTCTCTCTCTAACAACTTTCAGAAGAATTTGATTGCTGTTGATTTCATGAGTACTGTTTTGAGCATATGAGGTTAAGCTTTAAAAAAAGCAACTCTTTTTAAGTAACTTTCTGCTTACAGACGCATGAAAATATTATTGTTTTCTTACTTCTATGAGTAAAAATGTTGCTTATTTTGAAAGCAGTAAGCTGACTCTTTCATGTCATTCAGTGTATTTATTCAGGTACTCTGCAGCTACAGTACATTACCACTCTATGCTCTTGTTACACAGGTAATCTTTCTTCATTTCCTTGGATACTTTGTTTTACTTGATAAAATTTACACGAAAGTCTAATTCTTGGTCCGGGAAATGAAGATGGGAACGCATTTCAAGAAGTCAATATTTGATGAGCACGTGCAAGTTGGTCTCATTGGTTGGGCGCAGAAGGTGAAAAAGAAGAAAGGGTTGAAGGCGGCGCTTGGTGGATCTTCTGCTCAAGGTGGTTTGACTCAAGGAGGTTCGTCTGAAGGCAGCTATACGTTAGGAATACAGATGGGAGGATTTGGGCGCAAGGAGACTACTCCCCCTGAGGCTCCACCTACTAATGGTTCTTGAGGAAGAAACTACTTTTGCACATATTTTTTGGTTTATAAACAATATTCTCTAGGAGCTTGTGGACATCGCCAGCCATGTTTTGGACGAGACGATGACTAAGAAAACTTTGCTTGATGTCTTCTACTTGTTAATCAATGTCTATTTTTGTTGAGTTCAGCTTGTGCACGGCAATTAAGCTTAACATGCCACTGCTCGATTTGGAGAGCCAAACGAACATTATGCTTAGAGTATCTTCAAGAGACTCAATACAATATGCTCTTTATTTTAAAGAGTTAATGGTTAAAAATAAACTCCAAAAAACTCTACTTCAACTTTTTAATAGGGGATAAGTTTGACTCCTCAAATTTAGAAAAACAAGTTCACTTTCTATTTTTCATATATAATTACCACATTTAATAAATTACAGATTTCAATACTTTACTTTTTAAGCTATTCAAATCATATTTAAATTGATTGATCGTTAACATATAAAAAATTAGCAGAATAAAAAATAATGAGAATTCAATAAATGTTTCTTGGCAAATGTAAATTAAAGAGTCAAGATTAGGACCGCCAATTGATTGAATTTTGATCTGAATCTGATAAAATTAATGAAAGATGAATTTATGATTTTAGTTCAATAGAACAAATATGAATATATGTTAATTCAATTTATTATAATAATATACTATATTTTATACACCGGTGGATCAGGATTGGGCTTGGGGGCACGTGCCACCAACTTTGCCACTTTTTTTTGTTTCAATTTTCTAAGATATGAAATGAAATTGAAATATTGCATTTACAATACCATTTCGAAGTGCTCAGAGTCTAATTTTTTTATGTTATTAACAGCGTACGAAACTATCAATCGTAGCAAATATTACGACTTGTCAAAGTAGGCGGTTTAAAATTAGTATTTCGAGAATTTTAATAACATGCTAATTTTAAAAATTCTCCGACGATCGTACGGTAGTCGAATCTACAAATCGCTTATATCATCTCAAAGCTCGTTTTGAGGACTACATTATAGGCATATCAAATAATTCAAACATATATCGAAAATAGTTAAAGATGCGTCAAACATACGTCTTAAAAAGAGGCGTCTAACTCCAAAATTTTAAAAATTTTAATTATTTCATTAAACGTACGATTTAAAAAGAGGCATCTAACTCGCATTTTTTTTAAAAAAAATTTAATTATTTCGTTAACATTTATTATTGCGTGATACAAATTTCTCAATGTAATTTGCATTATTTTATTAGGATATTTATATAAGATATGACATTAAAAATTTTCGAAATTTTACATCCAAAAAGTCATATTTCATGTAAATTTTCAGATGCAAAATTACATGATACATAATTTTTTTCAATGTAAATTTTCGATTGTAAAATTTCTTCCAACTTTTTTGCAGGTTCGATAGTGCCCCCTAACTTTAATTGTCTGAGTACACCCCTAATTTTATATATTACCACATAATTTATTACACATAATTTTTTCATTTTGATACTCGTATTATATTTTATGACTTTTAACGAAGAATGTCAAACTTATCAAATTCCAATATAACATTAATATATATTATAATAAATTATAATAAATTTTGTATTGAGATTGGGAATTTCCTCTTTCAAAAATATTTCGGATCGAATATGCGATTACATAATAAATCGAATATGGATTTAGCAATCAAATGTTCGTTGGATTTTCAAACCGGATCCATGAATTATTCTTATCGGATCGATATGGGCAGATCTGATCCATTTACAACCCTAGCCAAATTAGAGTACATAAAAATATTGACTCCCTAAATTTGGACATGCTCTTTATAAATAAAAGGTGCCTTGAAGATGTTCTGAATTCAGATAAAATACAATATCACAAAAAGGAATGCTGTCAAATACAAGCAAAACTTTCACATTTTGTAGTAAACAAGAGTGGCATCTTCACATAATAATCAGTTCAGGGACAATACACAACACTTGATATTTAATGAACACATTGATATTTATCTAACACGAATGATTGAAGCTTAAAAAAAAGGAAATGAAAAAAGAAAAGAAAAGAATCAGCTAGAACAAAATACCAAATAATCATTTAGCGTTTGCTTCACTCTCATATATCTGGCATACACATCAATATACAGCCTTCGGAAATGATGTACCATCCGAGCATCTAGGAAGAACAGAAGCCTCTTAAAATCTACACCGTGACGTGCATCAGTTCCGCCAAATGGTGCCGGTTCCACAGGTAGCAGCTCAAAAGTAAAGAATTTATGACAGCATTTAGAAAAGCTCCTCCGAGTTAAATTTGTTCCAGGCTTCCTATTTGACATGTCAAACTCAATTAATAAATCCCATAGTGACTGAAGCACCAAAATAAGTTGCAATAAAAATCAGACTGCTTACAGCAACTTGCATTACCACAGTATTTGTAAGTAAAGACTGAATTGGAAACTTTTTATTGCAATTCATTCAATGCAAACAATTGAAATTTATGATATATTATATTCTATAAAATGATCCTTATATAATGAGTAGAGAACAGGCCACGTTGCTCGTGTCATGTAAACCAGTCTAACCCCTATAGACTTGCCTGCGTGTCTCCTATGCATCTCCACTGTGAGTTCAGTATGCCTATGTTTACTCATGTTTATAAACTGTTTATAAAACCCTCAAGCCACTTTTTATCCACATTTTGAGGGGCCCACAAATACGATCCACTTATTCACCACTCATTTGTATCTTTTTATAATTTAAACCGTTTATAAACATTTCCCAAACATGCTTTTTATAAATGCTCTAATAAATTTCCTCATATTACATCAAAGTTTAAACACGTTGTTCTCTTTAGCCAGAGAGGTGATATCTGTGCATAAAATGGATCACATAGTTCGAAGATATGGTATGTCTCAAACATACAACCAAAGTTCTATTTCCTACTTCGCAATGTTGGAGTTCAATACAATATAACAAGGAAAAACAATAACTGGTATGTCAAACAATACAGTGATATACGAGTTCGGTTAAAATAATTTATGAAAAACTCAAAAAAACCAACCTTAAGCAGGTCAAACACCTTCTCAGCAATGTACTTTTGTTGGAGAGTGGCACCTTTTTGTTGCACCTTATCAGGATGGATGCAAAGGGTAGCTTTCCTGTAAGCTTTTTTGACAGAGGCACCAGTAATCAAATCTGTCAGCGAAACAGGCTGCCATCCACATTCAGGCCAAAGCACCTAATCATATTATCAGAGAGTAGGAAACCAATTAACACCTTACGAAAAAATAAAGAATTAAAATGCAAACATATCATTCCCAAATACCAAATTTGATGTTTGAAATTAAAAAAAAAAAAAACAAGTCCAGAACTTCAAAAATTAACATTTGAAGCTGTGCTGCCACTTCAAATATCTAGGTAAAAACTGGACCCAAGGATATTTTTTTCTTAGGGGGGGTATCACTGCAGTGATCATTGAACAACCTCCACCGCTCTCTAGTTTTCATTTAGTATTTCTAGACAGAGAATCATCTTGAATGACAAAAAACAGTGCAGGAACAAGAAAATGAGAGAGCTTCAATCTACTGCCAACTTCATTCTTCTACTATTCTATAATCTGGCTGTCAGATTCTCTAACTTAAATAGCAGGGCGATGATGACACAAGGTTGATCATCCATTTCAGCAAGTTCCAAACTGGGTGAAAATAGTTTGAGACTGCCTCAACACGCTCAATTCACATGTAAATACAATACAAAAGGAGATGCTAAATTCATTACTGAACTATATAAGCAGAAAATTCTAGGATACATTAAAAGGCATGCACCAAAAGCTAGCAGGAAGCTTCCTAAAACACTTGTGAAGATAGAAGAATTGACCTATCAATCAATTACACAGCAATCATGACTCAGAAAGTCTTTAAGTTTCTTACCTTCCAGAGTTATGCTAAACAATGACACATTGGCACAGTAAAACTTTCAAAATAATATGAGAGGCAGGTAGGAAATTCCAATTATTCACCATGATTATAGTGGTTTAGTCATAAATATAGATAACGAGAATAGTGCCTAATTATGCCTTAAATCAAAGGTCTACCACTCAGATTGAAAGATGTATTGTCATGCTGTCTGAGGTACATCATGCTTCAAATAAACCATAACCAATGATCAAGCAATGCAAAAATCAAATGGGAGCCAAAAAACAAAAATTGCAATCCCAAGGTTCTGAAGAAATTATTTTCGACCTTGTAGCAAAAGATCGGGGAACATTCAAACACACTTCTGAATTTTGAAAAAATCCTTGTAAAATATCAAAAAAAAAAAAAAAAGTCACAAACATGCATGGCAGTAGCACCAGTATGAAAATCTAATACACTAAGGTAGTTAGGTTTGATTAGGACAGAATATTCTCCCTCTGCCTGGGGATGCCCAAGATACCCTCTACTGTTTGATCAGCTTCAGCAGTACATTAACCAACTCCAGGTCCACTAGAAAAAAGCCCGAAAACAATCTGTACTCTGACACCTGAACTTGAGCCTCATGATAAATTAAGTTACCTCTAGATCAAGCCATTTTTTACTTGCATCTAATAAGTGTGCCTCATAATCAGTTTTAGACTTTTAGTTCTTCTAGAACTTGACTTCCATCTAATCTCCATATCAATCAAAAAGATTCTTTAATCACTGAATTTTCCAAAAAAACCCTTGAAAAAAAAAAAAAAAAAAAAAAAAAAAAAAAAGAAAAAGAAAAAGTCACAAACATGCATGGCAGTAGCACCAGTATGAAAATCTAATACACTAAGGTAGTTAGGTTTGATTAGGACAGAATAATCTCCCTCTGCCTGGGGATGCCCAAGATACCCTCTGCTGTTTGATCAGCTTCAGCAGTACATTAACCAACTCCAGGTCCACTAGAAAAAAGCCAGAAAACAATCTGTACTCTGACACCTGAACTTGAGCCTCATGATAAATTAAGTTACCTCTAGCTCAAGCCATTTTTTACTTGCATCTAATAAGTGTGCCTCATAATCAGTTTTAGACTTTTAGTTCTTCTAGAACTTGACTTCCATCTAATCTCCATATCAATCAAAAAGATTCTTTAATCACTGAATTTTCCTAAAACGTGTCACAGATAAGGAGAACTTGCTAAAAATCATTTGAAGTGCTAAACAATTAATAAATGAAAAGAAACAGATCAACTCCTGGATCTAAGAAACTGAGAAACATATGATTCCCAGATGTCCAAATCAATAATGGTAAAATAGTACTTCTTATAAAACAGTTAAGCAGTAAAAGGGTACAGTAGCCGATGAAACAGACAAACTGCAATTGCAGACCAATATATTGATAAAAAAGAATGTAGACTTGGAAGGCAATAAACGCACATATTGCATAGTTGACAGTAGAGCACGCAAATTTCCTTCTTTCCCCGCAGCCCAACGCTTGATTTCAATATCCAATGTTTCAGCAACCCTCTGCAACCAGAGAACAAAAAGGTTAGACTGATGAAAAACTATATGAAATCCATCCAAACATAGCTACTTAACGTATTCAGTGTGCAATGCGATTTAGGCTCGCTTGATCTAAAATTTGTTGAACAACTTAACTTGCATGGATTTTATACAATATTAGCCAAGTAAAGAGTAGAAATAGCTTTAATACTAAGGATGAGTTAAAAATAAACTGCAGCATAATATAAACTACAAAATTGAAGTTAGCATTTTTGTAGCCTTAGCCTATGTTTGACTCATGTTTATATTTTATCAAAATATTCCGCGGGACACACGTACTACTCACTTATCTAACCACTCATTCCTATCCCTTTATAATTTAAACCGTTTATAAACATTTCCCAAACATGTCTTTACTATGTCGTATTTGGCATCTATATTATATTCAACTTGTGTCATCAACGTATACATGCCATATGTAGAGAAAATTCTTGCCCATGCGAAATAACAGTTGCCAAGAATTACAATCTAACATACAAAATACCATCTCGAATAATTATTTATCTTTTGTATCAACAAGAAGATGGTCAGCGAAAACTTCATCACATTATATGATTATTTTACTTGTAGTATCAACAAGAGGAACACTAATTTTTTATTCATCCACTTTGATAATGTGAAAAATGTGACTGCTAAAAAAGATCAGTTATTCAAGTATCAGTTACAAAAAGATCAAAATGAAAAATGTGACTGCTAAAAACTGCAATTGATACCAGTATGCACTGCATATGTGAAATATGAAAGGAAAAATTATTGTGAAAAACATGGTGTAGAACTACACATTATTAGCACTTCACAGAATAGGTGATCAACCAAAACCACTGGAGGGAAACTGGGAAGGGGGAGCAAGCACTAGGTTTGCAGATGAAAGAGCACAAGAATAGAACAATAGGCAGTCAATTACAACATTACTACGTATCAAGGAATTTCCATTAACCTATAGAAAAATGCATTGCTAGACAAAGTCACTGACGCAGATATCATTTTTAAGTAACTTACATGTCTTTCTTCCTGATCCCTTTGAGCTTGAAGATCCCGCTGGTTCTTTTCAGCAAGTGCTTTGGCCTGATCATATGGAACCCAGCTATCATTAATAAGAAGCAAACACGTGCCATGGAAGATGAAGAATCTACATAATACTAATTGATCTTCAAACTGGATAGGAAAAGAATTTCATATGCAAGAAAGCACAAACACATACAGCCCGCTCTTGAGTGCGTTGGTGGCGCTCGAGTCTTGCTCTTCTTCTTTCTTCAGTTTCCCCTTCAACATCCTGGAATGTTCCAGATGATTCAGCAGCTACAAAATCAGAGTAAGTGCGCAAGCAACGAATCAGTCAGCAAGAGTTAGATTCAAAATAACCTTTCAATGTTAGAAAAATTATTATATAGTGGCATGCCTCCAAAAATAGAAGATAGGTCATCTACGATGTTAGTAGTGGAAGAAGCTTTTCGCATATTGGAGGCCCCACTAGAAGATGATGTCCTCTTTGCGGCTTCAGATCCTGCCTTGTCCTGGAATTGCTGGTTGAATAGAGGATCCTGAAAATAGTAATCAAAAGAAGGAATAAACACAAAACTTATTGACAAAATCCTACAAATTGAAACAAGACTCGTACAAATATTGCGTTGTTTTGGCATTAACACTTACAACCGAATCTGTTCTGGCCCTAGGTACACTGCTTGGTCGAGATCCCATGCTGAAAAAGGACTCCAGATCATTATCATTCTTTTGTTGGCTCATCTTAGCAGCAGCTGCTGCCTTATCTCGTGCTTCTGCAGCAGCTCTCTCCCTAGCCTCTGCTGCAGCTCTTTCAACAGCAGCTCGTTCAGCTCGACGCCTTACCTCAGCTTCAGCCCTTGCAACCGCAGCTTTTTCTCGTGCTTCTTTCTCCCTTGCTTCTGAAGCAGATCTTTCTCTAGCTTCTGCAGCAGCCTTTTCCGCTCTTTCTCTAGCTTCAGCAGCAGCTCTTTCACGGGCTTCAGCTTGTGCCCTCTGAACTGCTGCTCTTTCAGCACGTCCTCTGGCTTCAGCATTTACCTTCCCAACAGCGGCCCTTTCAGCTTTTGAGAGAGCTTCAGCAGCTGCTCTTTCACGTGCTTCCCTGGTAGCCCTTTCTACAGCCTGTCTAGCCCTTTCTCTTTCAATCTGCTTTGCTCTCTCCCTCTCCCTCTCAAGTCTCCTTTGTTCTCTCTCTTCCTCTTCCACTTGTTTCCTTTCACGCTCTAATTTCTCCTGGTTTTCCCTAAATTCTCTCTCCAGAGCATCTTGCTGGTCATCTTTTTCCAGATGCAAAGATTCCTTACTTCTAGCAGCCTTTGCATATTCTCTTTCACGTACTTCCTTAGCATGTCTAAATTTAGCCTCAGCTTTATCCATAGCCTCCTTCATAGCAGCTGCAGATGCAGCGGCTGCAGAGGTCACATTATTCTCTTCACTAGCATGAAAATGGGCACTTTCATCAACACTGAAATGGTACCTACCCATGGCAAAATCATCAAGTTCCTCCAACTGTGAAACTGGAGGGCTCTTGGCTGCAGGTTGAGCAACGTTAGGACTTTGAGAGTATTGATTATAACTCCTGGGAGAAGAAAATTCATCATCCTTCTTTCTCAAATTTGAAGAGAAGGTACCAGTTTCGGACTTTGAAGTTTGACGAGGAATTGGTGGAGGTGATCGTGAAGGGGGTGGAGCACTCGTGGGTTGAGTAAAAAGAGGAATCTCTGATACGGTAAGCCATACATCATCTGATTGCAGTCCCTGCTCTTCTACTGACTGAGACGCATCAACCTGGGAGGTTGTTTCGTAGTTCGGAGGAGGGGAAGACTGATCAAAGGATTTGTGTGAATATGATGAAACATCTGGCACATCGAACAAGGGAGGTTCCTGAAAATTGTCAAAAGGAACCTTCTTCTCCACATTGCTCCCCGAATATCTGTAAGAAGATTTCCCTGTCTGCTCTCTAAAACCAGAAGATACAGGTGTTCCTGTTCTTGAGGGGCTCCCGTCCTTACCTCCATTATCTCTCCCAGGAGAAAATGGATGGACAGGTTTTCCAAATCCGTTAAGAGGATCTAAGTCATCAAATACTCCATCACTAACAGAGGATGCCTCAGCCCTTGCACTTCTAGATTTACCAAGCTTACCAATCTCCTCCAGTGGATCGGTAGATACCCCTGACGATGATCCGGGGGTTGATGTTGATTCCATAACTACAAAAGGTTCTTCCATCACGTTTGAAGTTGTGTTGTCGGTTCGTATGGAGCCTCGACTTGACTCTGATATTGGTCTGTGAAAAAAAATAAAAAATGAATGGACACTCAGCTAATTATCCCTTTTCTTTTGAAAACCCACATTAAGGGGAGAAGAAAACAAACACAAAACTTTCACACACACAGTTACATAAATTGCAACCAAGATAGGACAAAAATGGCAGAACATCACAAATATTATGCATCAAAAAAGCATTTAATAATTCAATCATCTTGAACCGTCAATTCTTCCTAAAAACTTCAGTCTCATAGGTTTTGTACAAACTGCAAGTCCATTTTAGAAGCCATTTTAATTTTGGAGAGGAAGGATATAAATAAAGAGTAAACACAAACATGTCATTAGTAACCAATGAGTGAAATGATGATGTGACCTCGAGCTGAAAAGTATAGCATAAGCATATACAATTGCAAGCCAGAAAAAAAATAATATTTTAATTCAAAAGATTCTTTTTTTTTTTTGATAAGTAATCAGAAGATTTTATTCATCATAGGATAATACAAGGGAAATGTATAATCTATTTAGACAAAACATACACGACATGAAATTGGGCAACCAATCTACATGATTAGGAGCTACAGTATTAAACCAACTAAACAAGGTTAATCGCAATGAATGAACAGATGATCAACTGAGTTTATGACCCTAAACTGATCTAAATTGCTATTATGGGATTGATTATGACTGTAGAATAGTGCACAAACAGTGGAACCGAACAGTTATGAAATGCTGACTGATTCTTCTAATTTATATGCTTTCATAAACAAAATTGCAATCACTAGCAATATATACAGTTTTTAATACTTTGAAATCTAGTTAGCACTTTTACATCCCAAAATAGAATACTATCTGTAGGCGTATTACGTAAAAGATTATAACACATAAATAAGCAAATGAATCAACAGACTAACAGTGATAAATCATTATTAGAAATGTTAATTCAAAATCACTTTCTCATGAAGTTGTACTTAGTTACTAATTATTGGAGTGTAGAGGCAAAGTCCTTGTTTGGCACTTTCTGAGTGTGTGCATAATCATTACATAAAGAGAATCAATAGCCATTTAAATTTGTCGCCTGTAATCTGACAACTATTAGCTTTTGTTGTACTAACAACATCTCATCAAACTATAAAAGTGATCGTATAAATATCATATGATTAAATCAACTAGTATAGCAAACCAAAAGGAACCTGGAAGTGGAACCAAATGATTACTACTACATAGATCTTCTAATTATTAACATACCGCCTTTTGCTTCAAACTAGGCTGGTGATATAGCAGAGCAGAAAGTAATCTGCCAGAGCAATTTTCGGTAAAGAACAATTATGCCCCTAAGGTAAATTTCCTTTTCTTGCTCCTTGGACACATCAATCCATTTCTCTCCTGCACTCACAAAGGCCACAACCACCACCAGCAACCCCATCACTTTCAAATTCTCAATAATTCATATCCCCGAGTTTCTCAAGTAACAACTAGCATGGTGGCTTATCTAGAGTTCAAAATCAACATTAGGTAACCAATGAGACTCCATTGGCACATGGTATAAAAATCTATAACTAATCCCTCTCCTAGATATTTATTGTCCTTCAAAATCTCAAACACCTTTTCTCTTTGACAACGGAGCCCTTTTATGATCCATGAAGATAAACAAAATAATTCTTGATAAAGGTTACTTAATAGTTTCTTTAAATATTCGTTGAATGAGAAATTTCAAACTGAAAACCATGTATGCTAGGTTCATATGGTTGGTACAGAAGGTGGTAATCATCAGGGTGGAGAAGTGGTGTTGGTATTTACCAACTGGATCAAGGTTCTCTGCTTCATAGTTTCAATTCTATCGGCAAGCAGCTGACTCCGAAATGATGAGTAAATGATGTGAAATGAATGATTGAATTGGATTTTTGATATAGAGTTGCTGTGTGATAGATGTCACAGTCGATCCAGTCCATGTGAATTTGTGCACGTGTCTGATGGAATATTTCGTGACAATGGATTCTTATATGTCTAGAGTATTCACATAGAAAAATTTATGGCAGAATAATTACCAGTTCAGCAATATCCCTTTCCGAAATTAAGAGTTGATTATCTTGAATAAATGACCCATGCAAAATGACATTCTATATGATGTTCTTTTATTTCAAATAACTTAATGATCTCTAATATTTTTCAACACGAGTAAAATATTTTTATTGAAAACCACCAAGGAGGTGTATCCAATGTAAACAATCAATATGTTAAATGATGACATGACAGTAGTCCACTCCCAAAAAACAATTTTTTGAAAAAACTATTCTTTCCATTTATGATTTCTGATCTAAGTGTGCATTGATTACAGTAAACTAGTATTTTTTATGAGACATTGTAAAATGAGAATATATGTTCTTTCCTTCCTGATATCTGTAGGCAATTTCTTCATATTTAATTGGATTTTCAACTTCTTAGAAATTCCTCTTCCCCGGTCCTGATAAAAACTGTAGTTATTAAAATTTTACTTGATCTTATGATTTTACATCTGTTCATATGCAGGAACCTGATATTAGAGGCGTTGCAAAGAACCTAACAACAGAGCTTGCATGATAGGTACTTAAATCGTGACAATCTCGACATGGAACACTAGACAATAGCTTTGTTACACGACACTGTGTGATTTAGAGGTCTTGAATTTGAGAAAAAACTAATCGAAAAATTAAACAGTTCCTTTAGCTCTAAATCTAATTATAAGCTTCATATTTTTGCTACCACGAGAGTTTTTTTTTTCATATTAGCACTAAAAGGATGGTGAAACGTTTTCCATAGTATTTTGCTTACACTCACTAACACGTCCTCTTAGAAATGGAGAACTTAATTCATGGAAACAAGATTTGCAAAAGAGACTACTAAAGACTCACATACTGCATCATATTGAGAAGAGTTGAATAAATCAATGTGGGCCCTTTCTACTAGCTTAAAATATAGATGAGATGGTTCATGGATCAAAAATCATGCAAAAGATTCTCGCAACCACTCATTTGTAAGAACAAAAATTGTTCACATGGAAGCATCTTGAAAACACAATTCAAATAAATCAATATGTCATATTTTAAATGGCTGAAGCTTTTAGATAAGATGGCTCACTCTTTCATTATCAACCATGCTCTTTCAAGTGTTCGAGAACTTCAAAAGGTCTTGTAATTGTGTTAATGATTATTCTACGTGTATATTCAAGTGTACACCCTGGGTGACATAATGCACAAATGGCATTCTGTCATTGGTCGGTGGAGTTTTTTTCCACCGACCACCCAAAGTGCACCTGAGGGCTGAGTGTACATGTAGCAAAGCTCTTGTGTTAATATTCAACTTATGTGGAATTTGGAACCTTCATGATGGAAATTTAAATAGACAAGTGGGTGAGTCTTGATCAGTATGCTTGAATTTTCAATTAATCAAAAATAAAAGGGAAAAAATATAAAAAGCAAGAATCAATAGGATATCTGAAAACTTGTAATAAGCAAGACACGTACCATCTGCAAAAATACCATAAAATTGTTAAATTATATCTGGATATTGGTCCAGTACTTCTAAAAATAGCAGAGTTCAAACCACCATATGTTAACATGCTCATAACAATGGCAAGATCAGTGTGTTTGTTATCATTCACAGGCAACACGTAACTGGATCTCTAAGCTCATAGGACAAATGACAGTAAAATGTGAAAATTTTGCCTATATACATTTTCACTGTCATTACATGCATTACTTTCTTCTGCTCGTCTTCTTTCAATAACATGTCACCATATCTTGTAGGAAAACTTCTTGACATCTAACTGTAACTTATGTCATGATGAGCATGTCCAGAGTAAAATAATTTTCAATTAAATGCAAGCTATAAAATTACTTTAAAGCAAGAGTAAACATATAGAACTGAGCAGCTAAAGAAAATCAGTTATTACAGCTCTAAACTAGAAATTCAACATAGTAATCAAACCAAATAACAAAAGTACCTGTTGCTCCTGGCAGGAACGCCACTCCCAAACCCAGCTAACAAATCATCGAACCCTCGCGAAGTAGAGCTGCTCTTGCTGCTGTTGTTCTCCCCAAACTTGTCATTTCCACCCAAGTTCCCCAATAAATCATCAAAATTATTTTGATTCTTGCTCTTTGCGGACGGCGATGCAATTGAAGCAAACACATCATCCTCAAATCTGACCGAGGAAGGACCCAATTTGTTCTTCAACCCCGGCAAACCATCGAATATATCATCATCATAAACAGGCTTATCGTACACCGGCAAGGACGACGTTTTATTACCGCCTGTATTACTGTTTGAAACTTTCGATTCCGACTTAAAAATCGATTCATAGTCAAAATCATTCATGGACGACGGCTTGTTATTACTATTAGAACTCGAACTCGAAGTATACTTAGGAGGCCCACCGAATACATCGTTGAACAACAACCCATCACGATTCTGATCGTCAACAGATCGGGCGGGGCGGCGATCCGCCTGGTCGGATCTCATTGGATTTGATTTTCCTTGGGGTCGGAACCCAAAATCCCGTGCCAGCACATCCAGGTCATCCATTTTGAATCAAGGGGTTCGATTTGCAGCAGATCTGGACGAAATTAACGGGCAATTGGGAATCCGACGAATCAGGGCAAAAACGGGTATGATTGATTATTCAATTAACAGTGAAAGATCATGTAAATGGTACAAATGGTTTATTATATAGTAATTTAAAGTATACGAACAGGAGACGTGTATGTAAAGGTGGTTTGAATAGTGTTTCTGGTTATTACAAGATATACAGAGAGAGAAGACAAAGTTTGCTAAAGGGTTTCTCTCTCCAATGACTCCGTTTCCTCCTACTTCGTCGTCGTGTACTCTCTCTCTCGGCGCTTCATTGTTTCTTCAATTTCTCCATTTTATTAATTTTCGTTTGATTTGCAAAGAAAAGCTTCATTTATTGGTAAATTATTATTCCGTCCTTGAAGTTTTGTAAATTAATTTACATTTTTTTGTATTTTAATTTGTTTGGTATATTGAAAAATGTTATTCCTTATGACCGACTACAGTAGTTGTCTTACGTGACATTTCATGTGTTATGATTTTAATAATTAAATAAGAAAATAATCACATGGATTTTCATGTTAATAATGAAACAATCGCAAGTAGGATACCAAGTAGAGCAACTATTGTAATCATCGACTAAGAATATCATTGCTTTTGGTATATAAATTCCGTTTGGCATGACATTTGAAAAATCAAAAACTACTTTTAAACTTATAAGTTGTTTTTCGACATGTTTGAATAATTTTTTAAATGTACTTTATCCACTTAAAAGAACTTTTAAAAACGTAGACATAAGTGATAAAACGACTTTCTCAAAAAAGCTTTTTTACAAGTCGTAGAAACCCCGTCAGACAGACCCATAGACAAGTGATTTTATCATGGTAAATTAGACTGCAGTGTGAAGAATTAAAGAGAATAAAGTTGAAAGTTAATCTATTGTTCTATCTAATCTCGTTATAGAAACGAAAAGCTAAAACCGAACTAGTTGAAGTAGGACAATTCATCAAATTCTCTGTATTCAACAAGAATACCTTGTCGCCATATGCAAAATCTTATCCGAGATAACTGTTCTATCCTGCGATACACCTCTGTAACCTCGGAATTCCTATGGATTGTGAAGGTCTGATTATTTTGTAATAGAAATATAACAGTTTCACTATAAACAAATGATGCCCACATTGATTTATCAGTTACGGAAGTTCTGGCATTCCACGGTGGAGTATGCACCGCAACTTACAGAAGATTTATCTGAATGCACCCTCCTGTAGAATAGCACATACGCAGCTGCTGACTTTACGTCTTCTTCAGTGATTAGTGACATCTGGCTGTCGTCAAAGTTATACCACCTATTTTCGTCAAGAAGCTGCGTTGGACAGATTTGATGTAAAACATTAGGAATCTGTTTTCAGCGTGATATCAGGAATATTAAAACGTTATGGAAAGAATATGCACACCTTAATATGTGCTGTATAGTGCCCACTTCCCATGCTACCATAATGGTTTGTTAAAGCGTAGAGTTCATAGATCTGATGTGGGGTGTTCTTGTTGGCTATGTAGTTTGTCAAATCGAAGTCGTGAATAGGAAAATTTACATCTGTCAAGCTTATGCTTTATTGATCTGCTGTAATAGAACCTTTTTAGATGAATAACCAGCACTTCAGGAAGCCTCCAAAGATCCAGCTTCTTGCTCGCTTGGCGCCTCTCCTTGCATTGAGGACAATACCTTCTCGCAAAGACAGGCAAATTAGATGTTAAAGACGAGATACATGTAAAAAAATCAGGAATCATGGCAAAATAGTAAAGAAAAATCTTACCACATGTCTGCAGGGACCAATGGCTCTTCATGTAGAAAAGCCTCCAAACAAGTGTACAGAGAGAGAGGTTCAGTTCAAGCTTTCTTGCTAACATGCCCAAATTTACAAACTTCTGGCAAGGTTTCTAAGGGGCTGGTATCATAAGTTCCCAAAAGCTTTTGTGACCAATCAGCAAATATGAGGATCGACATAGATGATGATGACAACTTAACCACCTTATCTTCACCCACAGTTAAATCTATGCAAGCATTATTTTCATCGACCAACTGCAATGGAAGTTTCTGGAAGGTCACTGGTTTTAAAATGCCACCGTAGGATTGTCTTGCATCAGCACCATCTGAATCGGCACAAAATTCAGTAGATCTAGTGGCATGAGATTGATTTGATGTTGCCACTGATGCATTAGAACAATTTATACCTGGATATTCTGTGTTATTTGTTCTTAAGATGGGCAAGAGCAATTTGTTAACCATCGGCTGGATATCACCTCTAGTTATAATGCCATCACATGAGATGGGAGAAACGAGAGGAGTTCCATAAGGCTTTCACCCCATAGTGCTTTGAGAATTACCAGCGCCCCTAAAACACATAGATGCAGAAAATGGGTTATACGAAAATAGCCAGTGAAGCACCTACGATTACATGCAAGGAGTAATTCTGTTTACTGCTCTCCACGGCAGTGTATCAATTGAAGAAACTTTGTTTTCTTCAGGTCTTTTGGTATCTTGTAGGCAGCGAGGTGGTCATCATCTTTTATGGACGACAGTGATATCAATGGATCCTCCAAAAACCGGTAAATCAAGTGGCCTCTTATCTACGAGCATCACAAAGTAATTATTAGTTAGAAATATTGTGCGTAAGTTTTTCCTAGAATTACTCGATTTACTCTGCAGACCTCAGCAAGCAGAAGCTTCTCATTGAGTTGCAAGGAACAATCATTGCTCAGTGCTTGGATCAAATTCCAGCAACGACCCTGCTTTGGAACAGATACAGTGCAAGCAGTTGGGAGGGCACTTCCATCACAAGTAAAACAGTTACTGTCATACTACGAGTGATGGTGGATTAAAGTGGCAAGGAAAGATACATGAATGGATCAAATGTAACTGAGACTTTATTACATACAGGACAGACCAGAGTTGACTTGTATTGCCCCTGCAAAAATGTGATTTGCTCGTAAATTCCAAAACACTGAGAAAGTAAAAATTTAGATTTCCTTGAGCGGATACAGACTTGCTCTAGTCTCGTTACGAGTTCTCTTTTTCAAATGCCTACAAAGACGTGTTTCAAGGGATCTGATTTTCCTTGACTATGATGCACGGTTGATTTTACCATGTGTTCTATGGAAGATTCTGCCAAGCGTAATTGTCAGATTTTTGTTTTCCAGGTCCAGTAAAATCACTGCTCTTCCTCCTCTTTTATAAACAAGTCAAATGTAGTATTCTCTACCAAATAACTAATGAACAAACTACGCAGTAAGATGAAATTATCAACAGTGTAAAGAGATGAAATTATCAACAGTGTAAAGAAATGAAATAAGTCATTTCCAGAGGCCATACTTAAAAAATTGTGAAGGAAAATTATTAAGCCCTTGTTTGGTCCTCATATTTCCAAAATACATTTTTCTCTCTCTTATTTTCAACCACGCTCCTCAATAAAATAATATTACACACAAGCCCAAAACTTTTTCTTATTTTTTAGTTACACGTCCTCATCAAAATACTATTCCAAAATGCATTTTGGGCAAAAAAATGGAGCTCAAACAGGCTCTAAGCACTCAGCAAAAGAACATCAAATTCCATCCTCTTTCCCCAGCTTTTTTAAACAAAACGATAATTCAAATTGAATTAAAATAATACATTAAAGTATATGTCTAAGTGCATTGGCTTTCCGAATGAGCAATACAACTGTCTATTTATCTTATTCGTTGCGATACAGCAGCATTATATGCATGTACATGTACTAGACATTGGCAGATTATCATCCAGCTATGCAGTCCAAAGGCATCCAACCTCCTCTCACCATGTAATAGAAAATAACATACAATGAATAAAAGTTATTACATACACGAGAAATCATTGAACAACACTTTAGCTCCCCCTGTAAATGAAGTTAACCACTAAGGAAACAAACATTTCTATTGGGTATTGAGCAACAATTCGTTGGTGAATGAAAGGGACCTCCAGAATGGAACTGCAGGTTTATGTTTCAGAAATCCCTTGATTACCATATAATGTGTTTCCAGTTATCACAAAATTTTCTTGGATTGATTCTTTCTACGAATGACGTCATTCCTTAGACGATATACTTTTCCAATCCAGTGGGGTAAATGAACCCAATTAACAAAATGACCCCAAACAAAAAACAAGACCATGTTAATAGAGCATCAAATAGCTATGACTTCTTTCAACAGCATAACTAACTAAAAATTATGTAGAATTATTTCACAATCTTAGTTCTATACAATCATCAATGTGATACTTACTTGGCACACATCCACAATTATGGAATCATTACGAGCAATGTGATTTGCCCAATACTCATCCGCAACTTCTTCATCAGGTCGACCATCTGCATCTCTAGATTTAATATATGGTTTGTGTTTAACACGATTTAAATCTTCGTGAAGTCCATCTAACAAAAATGCAAGGAGCTCCTGTACAGACAAGATAATAATAATTCTCAACTTCACCAATTAACATCAGCTTGAAGTCAAGAAACTTCATGCGAAGCACTAAACCTGAGAATCATGTTGACTGCATCCACTAAATTGTGGTGCAAAGCGAGCAAGCTTTGCTTTAAATGACCTGGGGGCAACTGGAGTTCGCCCTGGTGCCCACAATTTTCTAAGCAACTCACCAAATGCTAAAGCAAGCTCGCCCTGCGTATTAAAACAAGTCAGAAAAATGAAAGCATATTCAAAAATTAATCATGTTTACAGCTCAAAGCACTCTAGCAGGTGACTTTCCAGGCATTTCATATACATCAATAATAAATAAAAAAAAAAGTAAATTCAAAATGCCAGGCATGTGCCTCAAACACGCTGCAGATAGCGAAATGACCAGTCCGGACTAGTTTACAGTAGACTAAAATTTGCCATTTCAATCTCTGACCAAAACCCAAATTTAGAACTCTATGATCTGCCTTGATGGAATGGACAACAGTAGATGTGTCGACTAAAATTTTATGCTGAATAAAGGAAGTTTTAATTGCGCAACTTCTTACAAGAACAAAGCCAATAATGGCAGGTCAGCAAAGTTCTCATAGCTTTTAGCATGATTTCAGTATGAGACCTTCAATTACTTCTATGTTAGAGTAACAATCCCCAAGTCACACATGGGGTTAAGGCAAAAAGGATAAAATAAGACAACTTTTCTTATTAATGCAATAGAAAAGACTAACTATTCTTTTCTTCATAATATTTATTTTCTTAACGTCGAGCTAAGATGAGTTATCAGGCAGGCAAGGCTAAAACAAATATTTGTTGAATAGGGCTAAACGCTTGTCAATTCTCATACCGAGACCTTTCTTATTGGATTGAAGCTAACACAAGATAAGCGATTGCCTGACCTTTATTTTCAAAGTCCCTCAAGCCCCCTACCGATAAAATAAAAAGGGGAAAGGCACCGGACGCCGGAGCATGCCTCTAAAGATCGCTTCCTCTAAGAATAGATATCCCTTGCCCTGGCTTGATTACGAAGAAGAGGCTGTCTCAGATCATGAGAGAAAGTCCCTCAAGCCCCCTACCGATAAAATAAAAAGGGGAAAGGCACCGGACGCCCGTGCATGCCTCTATCCTGAAATAGCTAAAAAGTATAAACATAATTATAGGCATTTAAGCAACCTAGTTACTGCATAAGGCTTAGACAAATTATCATTTGAGATCAACCCATCAAACAGAAAACAAGGAAAGGGGAATTCTACAAGCCTCAGCAGTTGTTTTGCAAGAGCAACATGACATGCTGCGTGGCATGAATGAATAAAAACAATGGAGAAAGCAAAGAAAACACATTTCTTCCAAAATTATTTAACAATTCTAGTCTGACAAAACAGTTGGCAACTTTTTGCATGGATTCGTCTATGATATGACATTGTTTACCCATCTAAACGCATGTAATAATCACGTCATTGTCATGAGTCAAACTTACAACCATGCCCAGAGGGTTTTGACGGTTAATTTCTTGATGGTAATCGTCTTGAAAATACCGTGCAAATTCAGGGGTATGAAAAAGACATTGTATTGCACTGTTCATAAAGCAAGTATTTCCCAGATTCAACAGTCCAGTGAGACCACAAGACCCCCTTGTACTAACACCACTCTATCCGTGTGCCTTCTCAACATTTGTATTCTGCAACAACTCTAAATTACCATTTCGTGATGAATATTTGTTCGCATAAAGACCTCCTGCAGTCAACGAACTAGACTGTGAAGCAGCAACAACTAAGATTCCATTGTCTGCAGATCCATTCTCCTGAACAGAACCCACACAACCACCAGAGTTACTGTTGATAACCTCTACTAAAATCTGCTTTGGGTCATTGCACAACAAAGGAAACATGGAATGTCAGAACAATGTACAGCACCACATATTATATAATAAAAAGCACTATCCCTACAGACCAGGCACAATTGTCAATTGAAAGAATAAGTGAACAACAAGCAACTAACATGAATATCTCTGAATCAAGTAAACCCAGCAAAAAGTATTCAGGCAAACCAAAAAATGCAGTTACTATTAAGTGGCTATAATTACCTCTGACTCAAAGTCAAATCAAGAAACTAGGGAATAGAGTTCAAGAACAAGTAAACCAAGTCATCAAGTAATACACTAAATAATGCAACATAAGCATGATGAAACTGATACATTAGTAGGACTGCTAAAATGGCATATAACTAATTTTTTTGATACAAAAGCAGGGATAGGTTTCTATATACTAAAAACTGATCGTAACAAACTGACAGGAGCATCTATCAAAAGTATATTTATTTCTGGCTGAAACCAGAGTCCATTGGATGATACAACAAGAAAAACAGGCACCAAAGAAGAAAATCCGTTGCAAATTCTCCAATCTATGTATCAGGAAGAAGAGACTCTTCTCAACTTAATCAGAACTTGAATTCAAACTCAACATGACCTTAATATGAAATCAAGGAAATACAGAAAACCAATGGTAGCCAAAAGAGACACTGGAAGACACCAGGAGTCAGAGATCCTGGATAAGTTCAGACTTTGAATATTACTTCTCAAAAAATCCAATAAAGATGCCAATGGAGATTAGCTCATAACAATAATAATAATCAATGTGAGAATAACTTCAGCCAGGAATGAAAACTTGAATTTCTATTAGAAAACTCTTGACATCCAAGCTTAAGAGCAATTGCACAAGAATACGATTACACATAATTTAGGATTTGTTTGAGCCCCATTTTTTGGGAGAAAAGATATTACAATAGTGATTTTTTGGAGAATGCGTGATTAAAAACTAGAGAAAAGTTTTGGGTTTATGTGTAAAATTATATTATTCGAAAAATATGAGGTTGAAAATGATTTTGGAAAAAAAAAAAATAAGTTTCTAAAAAAATGGGGCTCAAACAAGGGTTTAGAACATCAACAAGCGAGAATGGCTAATAAAGATGAGCCAACTATGTGGGTTGGTTCAAAACCAGATACCATATAACAAATCTGCACCAAACGTAAACTAAGGGTGTGTTTGAGTCACATTATTTTGGAAGAATGTATTCTGAAATAGTAGATTGATGGAGAATTTGTGGATGAAAAAGAAGAAAAAATTATTGATGTGATGGAAAATATTATTTTATTGAAAAATGTATGGTTGAAAATAAGTAAAAGAATGAAAATGAAAATTTTAATGTGTACCAAATAGGGGCTAAGTAAGTCAGATGATGGAGAATTTGTGGATGAAAAAGAAGAAAAAATTATTGATTTGATGGAAAATATTATTTTATTGAAGAATGTGTGGTTGAAAATAAGTAGAAGAATGAGAATGAAAATTTTAATGTGTACCAAACAGGGGCTAAATTACAAGACGTGATACAGTTCCTCTGTAGCAAAAAAGGCACTCTATAAGATCAAAAAAGTGGCACAAAAAAAAACTCACATCCTGATCCATTTGTATATTTGCATCATCAAGTATCTTTTCCATGTCATTCATCAAAGCATGCTTCTGATGACTATAGTAGTCCCAAATATATACCTATGCAAGAAAAAAAACTTAGCTTCCGTTTGGCAAATTTATAAACATAAAGCGTAATAGTAGTGGGTCCCAAGAAATGAGTGGATAATAAATGAGTAATAGTTATGAACATGTGGTTGAAAATAACGTTTGGCTTTGACCGAATTTATAAACTATTTATAAATTGGTGGCCAAGTGGACACTTATTTATAAAATAACATCATGTTTTTAAAGGAAAAAATGGAAAGGTAACAGTAACAAAATTAAGGAGTTCTTTACTTGCTTAGGTATAAGATCAAATATCTCACAAGCTCTTCTGTGAAGTTCGCCAATGGTTTCCTGCCAAAAGAAATTCAATTCCTTTAATACGCTTAATTACCACATATGGGGAGATGTCGATAGTTATTTTCCAGGAAGGATTAGGGATCACATTGATCAAACCTTTTTGCTTATTCTTATAGTAGATCGATCACCCTTAGGCATCAGATGCAATTGAAGCCGTAAAGGATAAACTTCTATGGACAATTCCGTTTGAGAAAGACCGGAATCAATTACTTTTCGAGCCAATACGGGACCACCTCCATACCTAAACCAAGCAAACCCAGATTTTAACTCCTTATTAGGACAGCTGAATTCATTACCTCAGCAACTAAGAAAAAGTAGGTGTTTCTTCTCTTGGATTACACAAAGTAGAATCCAACTTTATTTGGAAGTTGCTTTAAACTATTAAAACCATCCTTCAATTTTAAATGTTTCAAAGCTTCAGTAATTCAGTTTCGGCACAACAGTAATGGACATGTTATATCTGTCGTGCTCTAAACATTGTTTAAGGGTCAAATGGACATGATGCTGGCGTTGCAGCCACTAGTAAAATTTCATCTGCACAGGAAAAGTAACCAAATAGCAGTAACCTGTATCAATTAGGTTTATATATAAGCAGACACTACCTGTACAAAACATAAATTAAATCACATTCAAGGCTCAAGCCAGAAGAAGGTTTATACAGTATATTCATGATGCTAACCAATAATCTTTGTCTAATGAAGTTAAATTGTAGGTAAATATAAATAGTAGAGCTTTCAAAATCTAAGGTTGGTGGCAATAGGCTTACTCAACTGGCAAGCATAAACTGTTGGGTTGTGCTCCAATGTACATGAGTTGTAGAGTACAATAGTTGACATGAGTTAAAAATGTGACCTGGCTTATATGTAAACCGTCTAACTCTTTTTAACACTGTATTTCTAGATTTATATCGACAGTCAACTGTAACATAAAACAGAAGGTGAAGTATCCTAGAGACTATATTTTGTCTATTCACATGTTATTGTTGAACACCTAATCCAAAACAAGTTGTTGGAAAGAGAATTAATTCTTATATCATCAACATGCACCAACACACGTTTTTATTCATAATTGGGCGTCCGTGAGACTTGAACCTTTGCCTACTATAATATCATATTGAAGCACACCTAAAATTTCATTATTATTATTATTTTTTTTTATTTTTTTTTTTTGGCAATAAAAGTCTAGTTGTTAGAGACGGGATGAAATTATTTATATTTCTTATATCTTTCAACATTAATATTTCTTCCCATTGTGGCTTGGACAGCAGCAAAGAAGTCCATTTTAAGATGAAAACTCTACATAGATGACAGGAGGTTTAAATAACCTGGTGTTTCATGTGCAATGAGGCTGCAGCAGGAGTGGAAGTGGGGCGAGCCAGGGATAGAGGGGTGAGAAGGCTCGGCTCACACCCTGGCGAGCAAGAGCCGAATATCAATTCGCTTGTGCAAGCCACTCGTCGGCTCGCTCGCAGTTGGTCAAACTGAGTGAAAAATGCAATTTCAGTAAAAAAAAAAAAAAAGNAAAAAAAAAAAAAAAAAAGATAAAAACGTAGCTGACTAGCCCCACCAAGGAATTAGCTCGTAAGGCAAGCCAAGTATCGCATCGATTGAGTGAGCCAAGCCAATCCTGGCGGTAGGTGAGCCAAGCCGGATGGGCCCGCCCCACTTTTGACCCTTAGGCTGCAGAGAATAAAAACTGTTTGCCGATTATATTCTTCAGAGTTCAGTGCTTAATGTGGGAAAAGTGTCCCTTTGCTCAGAGGAATTGAGTGAGAAAGGAAGAAGGTGTCAGAAGATCGATCCTCTTTATTTAATGTATGTGGTTTAGAAGGAACATAACAGGACAGCTCTAAATGAGGAAAATGCATTTTCCAAGATTGAAGTGTGTATTGATTTCCTTTTGCTTTTATGAAGTTAATGCCAATGCGTACCAACGCCTGGACCCAATAAGATTTAACTAGTACGCATCTTTCTCATATGCTTCTTGTTCTCGGGTTCTTCACCTTTATAATTTGTGATCAGAAGAGGTTATCCATCTTTCCACAAGTGAGTAGCATGATCGTGTGAGTTTCAGTTAAGCTGGGTTTGGGTCAAAACTGAGAATGGACAACGAAGACCTGTTACTAAATCAATAAAGGAATGCCCTGGCATCAATCCACATAAAATTAATTTCAACTCACCATGAATATAATTGATTCCAAACTCCTTCAGGAAGCAATATATAATCCATGCCTTCAACTCAGGTATCTTGAAGCTCAATAGCCTTAGCAGAATCCTCAGATGCTGTTT